CAACGATAATTCATTTGACATTTTTCTTTTCTATATTTTTCCCCTTCTATCATCTATTTTCCGCCTTTTTATTTCGATATTAGTCCATTCCATTCGGTCTTATTCCATTCGATCTAATGACGGTCAACCATGACGTAGACTATAGAAAAGTGCATCATCATTGTTCTTGTTGACGACATCGGTCAAATGAGAAAAACAAGCATATAAATAAATGTGCTGATTTTTTTTTTAAATAAGAAACGAAAAAAAATGGAATTAAATGATTTACCCGACGAAATACTTTTACTAATTTTGAAAAAACTGAATAATTTTGAAGTTTTCTATTCTTTTCATGATGTTAATCAACGACTCAAGAGAATTACACATGATCCAATATTTACAAGTCATTTGAATTTTGTCAAATGGTCATGTCATCGAATTATCAATAAATTTTCTTCTAATCTTATTGATGAATTTTCTTCACAAATTTTACCCGAAATTTGTCAAAGAATCAAATCGTTTAATCTTGAATCATCATTTATGAGACATATTTTATCTGCTAACAAATATCCTAATTTATGTGGACTTAGTCTATACAATGTTGACGAAGAAACAATCAACTTTCTTTTTACTGGTACGAATACTTTCTAGAGATAATTCTTTGAACTATAAGGGAATGAAAGATTTAAGATCATCTTCTAATCATTCGATTATTTCTACTAATTTTTCATATAGGATCAGTGTTAATATGAGATAGATTATTTTTATTTAGATAACAATCTGTCATCTGAAATTTTTGAAAATCAAATCACATCACTTGTTATTGGAATTGATTTAGAAAAAAAGAATTGGACAATAGTAGAAAACATATTCAATAATCTATTGACTATGATGAACAATTTAATTGATTTAACATTTTATGATGCATCATATAGAGATATCGTTCGATTAATGAACGATGTTCCATCTCCCAAATTTTCTTCATCAACTTTATTGACATTAAAAATCAAGGCACAGACTTTTAATGATTGCCTCTATATTCTTGATGGTCGTTTCAATAACCTTCAATCACTTGATATTGATTTGATGAAGATTTATCCATTATCAAGACAAATCGAAAATCAAGTTAGTTTAATAATAAGAGATATTTTTATTTTATTTTCAATTTTCTAGAGAAAAATTCCAAATCTGAAGTGTTTTAATCTCTCATGTTTTTTGGAGACATCGCTTTACAATGAATTAATTGTTCCACTTCTTCATCGAATGTTGAATTTGGAAAAACTTGGTTTATATATCACGACTCAAATCGAGAAAAGATTTATTGATGGAAAAAGTTTGAAAGAAGATATTCTTTATCATTTGACAAAAATGAAACATTTCGATTTTGATATTTATTCATTTATTTCTATGGAAAGTCAAATGAGTTTTCCGTCACAAGAAGATATTCAACAAACATTTAAAGATTTTCCATGTACAAAAGTAATATCTTGTGTTGATTATTTTCATCGTAAGCGAAAACTAGGACAATGTCATGTTTATTCATATCCATTTCTAATGAAATCTTATGAATATATAACAAATAATTTTCCAGGTGGATATTATCCATATGTTCGCATAGTGTATTTATATGATGAACATCCATTTGAACATGAATTTATTCGTCAAATTTCTCTTGCATTTCCATTGATGAGCAGATTAACTTTGATTAATGATTGTTCACAAAATTCTAAACAAACGATCGATATTAATGAGAATTTTGAAATTATTCGATATTATCATCTTATTGAACTTGATATTGGACGATGTCATGATGATTATACTGAAGAGTTTCTTAGTACAAAAACATATTTACATAATTCGATTTCACTTCATATTAATGTGGAATCATTTGCAAGAATAACACAGAATTTTACAAGAAATGAAATACGAATTAATTGTAGCAAAGTAAATGAAATATTTTTATATGGAGAAAACAAATATTCGATTCAATCTTTACAAAATTATTTTCCTTTTGCAGAAATCGATTGAATGTTATTATTTTGTGTATAGTTTAGAGAAAAAAAAAATATTTGTTTGAATTAAATAAATGATCATTTAGAAGAAAATGAATTTCATTCAATAAAAATATTTAGTTCGTACAAGGCAATGAAATCTTAACCTAATAACTATGAATTTTTTTCAAAAATCTATGATCCATTTATATCACAACAATTTGTGGAAAATTTATAGAAAAGAATAATATTTGAAAAACTTCTGACAATGTGACAAAAATAATGTTTTTGTAATGAATTAGGTATTTCAAACTATTGTGTTGAAATAATCGATACAGCACGACGTGCTTTATGCATTGCAGAGATCGATAGAAGAAAGATTTTTCTGTTCCCTTCCGCCTCCTTCTTATCAAAATTTTTCATGAAGTTATTTTTGAAAAATGAACAGGTCGGTAATGTTTTCAGTTGTATATCGATTCTCTCAATATTTATTTTTATATTAAAATGTTTTATATTATTTAAAAGGGTAATTATTTTCAAGTCTATTTTAAAAAAATGTAAAACTTGTGTTTTTAATATGAAAAATTTTTTGACCATTTTCCGTGTGAAAAACACAAATGCATGTTTTTGGTAAATTTAAGCAATAAAAGGATTTAGAAACATTTTCATGTATGCAATTTTGTAGAATTCAATTAAGTTCCATCAAAATAAAACTGTCACATAATTGTATAGTTTCGTGTATCATAAGTGAAATAATCAGAGTTACAAAACCAATGTGCAGTTTGATTTTTTTATCACACTAGTTTGCTCGCTTTTATTATATTCTATTTTGAAAGAATTTTCCTATTATATATGTATATATAGATAATACTCGTTCTGCACTATCAAATGACAAAAATAAACTTGAATTATATCAAATAATTTAAATATCTGATTAAAAATAAAAGTGGAGCCAAACTCTTGATCAACACTATATTTAATTAAAGGACATTATAAGTTAAACTAGATAGATAGCATCTGGATACCATCACCCATCCTTCTGATAGTCATATTTTTCAAAGTCAATCTTCGTTCTACAAGTATTATTTCAGAATAATTTTGAGTAATAAAGAAATATTGTGCATATTCATGAGAAAACAGTCTTTTATGAGTGATATTCTATAGGCAAATACTCATGTCAGTTTGTACATCATTGTGTCAATCTCACAGGAAATAGTCTCTTTCATGATGTATTGTTAATTAAATTCTAATCACCCTACTGCAAACCTTTCAAAGAATGTTTATAAGGACCTGTTGATCCTTTTCATTTAAAAGATTTCAAAATTTCTTAAACCGAGCAGAGAAATACAGGTGTTACTAGTGAGAAGTGCATCTGCTTATATAGTTGCATGCACGAAGCAGAGATGTCCATCGCGGTTGGAAATGTGCCGCTGCCGCGCCGCAATGCTTCGACAACTAAAGTCCACCGCGCCGCACTATAAACTAACTTGACCGCGCCGCTACCACACCGAGACGGACAAAAAGGAAAATCTACCGCTGCCGCGTTGCTACCACACCGCGACGGACAAAAAGGAAAACCTACCGCTGCCGCGCCGCTACCGCGACGTTATAAATAGTGCGATCTATAGGAAGTTCTCTGTTCTCTAATAAAAAAAACCGTTTTTGTAGCATATAGCTGGTATGAGTTATTACGTCAAATATCAGTATGTGAAGAAATGGATAACAATCATGAGTTCCTTAGAGCTTCAATTGAAGAACAAACATACAGCGAATGACCGGGAACATCTAAACACTTTAAATATTAAATTACTTATGGCTGACCAAAAGTTCTGATCACGGCGTTACTTAGCAACATAGTACGCTTTAAGAAATTTTCTTTCTATATGGTCTGATAGAGAAAAGAATGCTCTATTTTTCTATGCTATTTGATCATACTTCAACTAATATTATGATAGTAAATTTTCGATAAGACTTTTTCGTTATCATTGTGCTCGTAGTACTGGATCACAACGGATGAGGCAGGTTAGTTTTCAATGCCCCAATCCATTGTATTAACAACCAAAATATACCATAAGATGCAGCGTGAAAAGCTCTACAATTTACATAAGACCACTTACTTTATAGTTGCATTTTTCATTTTCAAAATAAACAAAATTTTGAGGAACCAAATTTTGGGCATTGCAAAAATTGATCCTACAGAATTTTCCTTCTTTTGAAAACAATTACAATAAGCTTTACTATGAGGATTGTAGAACTTGTCGCGCTGCATCTTGTGGTGTATTTTGTTTTCTTTTAATAAAGTATATCGGGTGACGAAATGATGAAATAACAAAAAATGAAGACGCCGTGTTTCAAAAACATTACCAATTTCGCATAGTCGAAATTTGATCGCCCAAAATTTTGTCCATTTAGAAAAAAGAAAAGTGCAACTATAAAATAAGCGGTCTTATGTAAATTGTAGAGCTTTTCACGCTGCATCTTATGGTATATTTTGATTGTTAATACAATGATTAAGGAATTGGATACTGCAACGCGAAACTTACTAGAGCACAAATAATAACGAAAACAGTCTTATCGAAAATTTATTACCACGAAATTAGTTGAAGTATGATCAAATAGCATAGCAAAATAGAGCATTCTTTTCTCTATCAGACCATATAGAAAGAAAGTTTCTTAAACCTTACCATATGGCTAAGTAACGCCGTGATCAGAACTTTTGGTCAACCCTAAGTAAATAGAAAGCACTATATGGATCAAATAGAATACTCTTATTTCGTTTGAATAACTGATATTATAGCCTGGAAAAAGCGAGAGATTATAGAAACTTAGAGAAAGCAACTGACCCTACGGAAACATAATTTGATATGCTCATGAAGTACTTGAGAATCTTGGCCAAGGAACTTATGCACTATAGATAAATCTTGTGATCTATGAACAGATAAACAATTCGCTATTCTTCACTTTACTAAAATGACTATAATATAGTTACTACATCTATTCTGTTTGTATTTGTTTTCATTCGATATATCGTTAATCTATATTACCTATACTTATTCATGTCTCCATCGGTTATTTTACAATAAAAAACGTAACGAAATGTGTTGAAATTTAAGGATCGAATAGAAAATGGGATTGAATTTTCATTCGTACTAACAGATGCGGCGGAATAAATTGCCGTCTTTTGTATTTTATTTTTTTATCATATAGTGTGCTGTATTAAAAAATAAAATATACCACAAGATGCAACGTGAAAAGCTCTACAATTTACATACGACCATTTATTTTATAGGTGCAATTTTTGTTTTCAAAATGAACAAAGTTTTGAGTGATCGTATATCGACACTGCTCACAGATCACTTTTTTCCACGGGAACAAGACAATTTTTCTATTTTTCGTCTCTTTATCAACTAATATGTTTTCGTAAAAAAACACAAAACGTACCACAAGATGCAGCATCAAAAATTCTACCATTTACAAAGGAAAACTCACTTTAATTGTGTTCTTTTCGCTTTCAAAAACAAGCAAAATTCTGTGCGACCAATATTCGATACTGAGAAAAAAAAATCATTCTTTCGACACAGATGAAAAATTCCTATTTTCTTATTTAAAGATATTGTTCTTTGTAAATTGTAAAGCTTTTTATGCTGCATATTATGATATATTTTGCTTTTCTTACGAAAACGCATAAGTTGGTAAGAAGATGAAATAAGAAAAAACGTGTTTCCTGTGTCTGCAGAAAAAAATAATCTCTGAGCAGAGTCAAAAATTGGTTGCACAGAATTTTGTTTTTTATGAAAACGAAAAGAACACAATTAAACTAAGTTTTACTTTGTAGATTGTAGAGTTTTCAACGCTGCATTTTGTGGTATATTTTGTTTCTTTTATTGAAGACAGAGTAGGTAATAAAAAGATGAGATAACATGACATAAGAAAAATTAGTTTTGAGCAGCGTCGATATTTGATCACTCAAAACTTTGTTTTTTTTGAAAACAAAAATTGCAACTATAAAATAAATGGTCTTATGCAAAATTGTAGAGCTTTTCACGTTGCATCTTGTGGTATATTTTATTTTTTAATACAACACACTATATGATAAAAAAATAAAATACAAAAGGCGGCAATTTATTCTCTCGCACCCGTTAGAATTGGAAATAATTCATTTATTTCTTTGGAGGTATATCTGACACTTAAAACCTTTACACCTAATAATAGTTCGAACATTTTCGTGTGTATAGTTACTTATGTATATAAATTATAAATGTGCTAGAATATGAATTCTTGAAAATCTAGTAACATTCTCCTACATAAAGTCATCATGTAATTACATGATACTAATCTTTATAGTTCTATTAGCCGATTAAAGTATAATGAAAATGTAATGATTGAGAAAGAAAAAATTGGTTTGCTTTGAATCATAGTAAAATAATCTACTCAAGTATTAGATTTTCTCGGAAAAAATCGAAATTTCAACCGCTGCCGTGCCGTACCGCGATGGTAAAAACACAAAAGTTGCCGACGTAAGTAAAGTTAGCAACAGATTCGAGTTTTTTCGGGAAATATTCGCCCATAGACTTGTGCCAAAAAAGATCGTTGTTGTGCCAGATAGAGCATCAAATATGCTGTGGAATACCTGGCTTTCCAAACATTTCCATCGTCAGGAACGCCTGAAAAATTCAAAATACTGCTTTGAAAGCACTGATTTTAGTACAAAAATCAGTGTTTTCGCCTAATATTCGTTTCATGACGTGTGCCAGTTCAGAAAACACTTGTGCCAGATAGAACTCGATGAGATCTATCGATTGGTAGTAAATTGACCCATATTCAACACTATGGTAGGGGTCTAGCAGCGTGACAGATCTTTATAGAGGGGTTTGGGGCACATATAATGACCAAATATTCATTTTGGAAGTTGTGCCAGTGGAAAAAATACTTGTGCCAGATAGAACTCGGCGACATCTATCGATTGGTACTAAATTGGCACATATTCAACACCATGGTAGGGGTCTAGCAGCGCGACAGGTGGTTATAGTGGGGTTT